TCTAATAATAATAAGATTATCGTTTATGAATCTGTTATGATCTCAAATGGATTTGCAATCATCTTCGATGTTTCTTCTATAGGGTGTTAAAAAAATGGCTAATATTTATATAGTGTGATCCCAGGTATCAAGATAACGAAGACAGTTTCTATACAAACATTCATTTGAAGTTTATTTTCAAATGTTATAAGCAATTTAATTTTACGTTGATGGTATAGTGACAATTGCGACGAATACTAAGATTGAAAGCAAATATAAACGAAAGATGAAACGTAATCTTGTTATAGATAGAAGTAAGATCTTTACTATAACATTGAATGTATAAATTCTTTAGTTGTGAAAGATTCTAGAATTTCTATTTAGATTTGTAATAAATATAGGATTTCAAATCAGATAATAATTTCGAAAGGTTTTCATAATATTTTAATAATCTTACCTCGCTTTCTACAAGGTGTCCTAATATTTATGTATGTTTACATACAGAAAATGTTGAAGAAATCGTATCTGTGGTATAAAATAAAATTGTTTATAACTTGAAAAATACTCTACAAAACTCTATTTTACACGCGAATTCTTTTCGCTGTTTTAATTTCTAGAATTACAAAGGCGTGATAAACATCTTCTAGATTTTTTAATACTCTGTATGCAGTAAATATATACGAATTTAATAAATATTAATAGTTTCCGCGATAGCAGGCAGATATACGCTAAACTTTTAATAGATTCGTTAAAAGTGTTCCTTCACGGAAAATCTAATTAATTTCTTTGCTCTCACGCGTCTTATCTGTCGACGACTCATTGAGAATCATTCGAATCCTTTGGCTTTCTCAGACGCTGAAAAGAGTTGAAAAAAAGGAACATATGCATATTATCTAACGCGAATTTCACGAGAGAGGGACTGTGTACGAGTCATGCCTTGATTGCCCCGGCACGAACAAACTCGTAATCAGAGGCGTGATTGCGATAATATTTGCCCTGTGCGATATTCTAACACCGACGCAATGTGCGGTCTTGTGCATATCTACGCTATCTATTTGGATAAAGCGCGTCGGGAAGATGCGTTTCATGCTACTTTTCCAAGTGATTCTCTTTAATCTAAATACTGCTTTTAGCAACGAAATTCATAGATTTTCACACGCGATGTAAGTGTTACTAGAGGAATTGAAATGGTAAATGATGCTACCTAAGTGACAGAAAAGTATAAGTGAAATGTAAAATGAAGGTAGAAAATGAAGATAAAATGAAATTTTTAGTAGGGAAGGATATAAATTCCATGTGGATTACGGTAGAAAAAATTGCAAGCGCTGAAATAATTTATTTCAGGTCCTAGGATTATTACGAGATAAAGTTAAAATCAAAAGTGTCAACTTAAGAATATACATTTTCTGTTAGTACTAGGCACCTTCTAGCAACCTGTATAACCTACCTACCAAAGTTTCAAACGTAAAAATATATTACGAAAGATGAATATTGAAATAAAGAAGAAAAATATATTATATGAGATGAATATAAGTGTGATCAATTAATATTAAAAATACGAGTTTAAATAACAATTTAATTACATAATATAGTAAAAATACAAACATGCATTGAAATAATCCGTATTATCTCACGACTACAATAATCATGGAGATTTCTGGGAAAAGGGTCAATTTTTGGTCAAATAGTTGAATTATAAAAGTCACTGCAACTTGAAATGCAATCCAACATTATAACAGGAGAAATAGCAGTTCGATCAATGACAATATTGGTATCAGAATTTGGGGAATATCAAATCGAAACTGCGGCAAAAGTAGCGCATTACACGAGCATGAAATTGAAGCACGCGAGTTGAAAATAGAAAGGGAACGCGTACCCGCACGGGATATGAGGAGCATTATGTGGATTGACACGAATTACCAGAACTAGTTGAGGAGTAATGAATCTTCTATCCATGATAGAGGTCTGCTAGTTTCAACAAGTATACATTTGCATTCTAAAATAGAGGCCGTATAGTCAGTCGTTTATCAATGCAAAACGTATCAATATAAACCGGAGGATACGTTGTTTCTGACGAAAGCCTTTGTGTTTCCTTCGATTCGTAATTTATCAATTACTATACACACTTAGAACTATCAGTTAATAATACAGGAGATATATAAAGTTTCTGAATAAGATTCCTACTCGAAGCTTGGTAGTTCTATTTTTATTTAGGAGGAGAGGATTTAATTTGCGGTTGTATCTTTGCCTTATTCTCGTTGAAGAATTACCTTTGACTTTTATAAAACTACGCCTGCTTTTTAAATGTCTTCTTTGTTGACTTTTCAAACATATCCTCCAGCTCGTTGTGTTGTCCTTTTTACTCTCGTTATAAGTTTGCCTTTACTCTAATATTCTTTAATTAATTAATTAGTTGCCATTAAGTACTTCGTGTATTGTTCAATGATTCAATGATACATTTGTTTCTTGATTCAATCGGCCCGATAATTTATTTTCATGTTTGTTTTTAAATAAATTTTATATAAGGAAATTATAATCGCATAACAACAAGAATTACGTGTATAAAGTGCAATACTTCTAATCATTCAGCCAGTTTCTTCACAGTCTTTTTCTAGAGTTTTTCTTTAGAGTCTGATCTTCCAAATGAAGTTTAATAATTTCCTAATAACTAATCAAATTTACTCTGGTTTTCTCTCGATATCCTAATAGTTATAAACGGAGCTGTATACAGTATAATCTTCTGAAGAGTTAAATTAAAAGTAAACAACGCTAAATTTTCTTTTATCTCTTCACGAGCGCAGATAAATTGCAATATAAACGTTTCGTTCGACAAGCTGCTCTGTTAGTTATTGCGATGTAAAGCTGGTAGGGATGCTAGCTGTTTAGACGAAATACTAGTAATTTAAAACGAAAAGCGCGAACAGCCGCTCGAATCTATTCGCTCACGTTTGTAAGTTACGGTGCATGCATAATTGCGATTTCATTTGCACCAAATAGGGCATTCTTAATGTCTTTTAATGAAATGTGGCCTGGAAGAATTTCATTTCGTTCGTATCTCGGCCTTGAGGCGACCGTAAGACTTGTGTCTGAATTGAGCAGTTGGAAATAGGAACGGCGGACTCCATTCACTTCCCGCTAGTTTCTTCGTATTAAAGAATGCTTTTTCCCCTCTTTTCTAAACGGGATGCGGAAGTAGAACGTAATCAGTTTTCGTTATTTTCTCTTAATTTTTTTTCACGCGATCATAATAGCACTAATTATAATTGTATTATACAAGAAAATGAAATAATCAAAAAATAACTCAGAAATAGTTCAAAAATAGAATTTACTAACAAAACAGGAAAGAATTAAAGTTTATCGAATAGAAAAAGATAAACGAATTAAATGAAAATCAAATTTTCTGAAAACACTCCATCAGTTTCCGTGATAGCGCTCATAGATGTACGATAGCATGTTGTTCGACCCTGTTTCTTGTACAATTCCATTTCTAAGTTAAATAACAGGTTGCATGTAATCAGTACATACAAGACTATCACATCTCAATTATCTAGGATGGTACTTAAGATAGTATTCATAAATATGAAAACTGAGATCAGACAATAGCTTGTACGGTCTAGGATGTATCCCCTTTTATAAATCGAAAGCAGAACAACCTTGAACGTAACTTTTGATGGCGGAAGACGCAGCACCCTCGTGGTTAATCACTTTTTTAATTGCTTCTTGGCGCGACTAAGATCGGCGACGGTGAATCGACGAGGATAGGAGTTGGTCGAAACACGTATATATCTTTCTGCTTTTTTACTTTTTGTTCGTATGCTCACGAGGAAGGGATGAAACGGGAAAAGCAAACAGCGTCGTGGAAAGCTTTTACGTATCTCATTTTTCCCCTCCGCCGCTTTAATCGACGATGGACCCTTTTGCTGGAAGTTTTATTTGCAGTAGAAAATTTACTCGTTTCCGTACGACGACGATGGAGCGTGCGTCCGACCTTCTGCAGTGACAGCAGAATCTCACCCTTTCGCCCTTCTCTTCTCTCTCCTCCGCTTTTGCCTTGCCTTTTTGTTTCGTTTTATTTTTTCCACATTTTTTTTACCCTTTTTCCCTGGAAGCAGTGCGTCGAACGACCGCCACGAGTCGAGCACTACTCAAACTTCACTTCTATGTGCGTGAGTTATTAAATTTTACGGGAACAGGGGAGGCCAGGCGGCCTTGCCCTTCGAAATTAATATTTCATCCGTTTCCGAACGGATGTCCTTCGCGCAACGCGCCAACGTCGCTGAACTGTCTTGCCGTTAGTTTTCTCAAATGATTCATTTTAATGTATGCGTGGAAAACAGTTACATATATGTGGAGGTTGGCGGAGGATAGGGGTATTAATACTTCGGAGAAAAATTGAAAGGATCAAGTTTAAAGACGTTATCTTATAATACCGAATTTTATAAAATTGTAATAACTTGCAATTGACGAACTACGATGAAATCAATAAAAATATCGATTTGGGATTGGGATCAAGTTATACGTATAAAAAAAGTTAAGATATATGCAGCTTAATGAACGTTTGACAGTGTGAATTTTGAAAGGAAACTAACAGGTGAAGGTATCAAGAATCAAGTATTAGATTAAGTTGTAACAAGTTATAATAATTAACTAACTACATTGGAACGCGTTATTCTCACTATCCATTATCTCAAATCGATGCAACAATCTCGTATTAATTCACTCTCCAATTATAAACCCCATAATTTCCTTACATAAGTATTCATAATACATATACACTACCACTCGATCTTCCCACATTAAAACTTGTTACAATCCTTGTTATTCTCAATCAACACTAAAATACTAAACCGTTAAATCTGTCAAAACATCGAAAAGCATCTTGCACATATCTTACACACCAAAAACGAACTAATTACTGTCAACGCAATTTTAAAATTGGAGCCTAATAAGAATTTTGAACGTTAGTACCGAGAATCACCGGCAGAGTGCGCAGGTATCGCGACCGTGGCGCGGCGAGCGGCAGCGCGGGAGTGGCAGTATAGTTTCGGACGCCGTGGCGCGTGCTTCGGGGATGAAAATTGCTAGTCGTTTAATTGACGATACACGATCGATGTGTGTCTTCGCTGTTCGTGTCATGCATTGGTACGATCTACGAACGGCCACACGTGTATATCCGATGAATATCTGGGTGATTTGCGCGCGACCGGTTCGTCGGTAGTCGCGGTTTGTTGACTCGATAACGTGGTCCCTCGGTGTGTTTGTTTTCCCCGTGGAGAAGTGCAATCATCTGTGGATTACCCCGAGCAGCTGCAACGGACAGGTTATTTGGCCGGTCGGACAAGGCCTCGTGTGCATCCACGATCCGTGAACTAGGCTGATCGATCGACGTGCTTCAGATTATATTTACCTCCGGCGACGCCAGAGAGAGGGAAGAGACGCGTGAGAGACGAACCTCGTGATTTTACGATGATTATTAACCCTTACGCAAGCCTCGTTTCTGCGCACCGGAACGCGCCCCAACTTTAAATTCGACTAATTATGCGCCATTTACAGAGGACGCTGCGCGACATCGCGCCAATTCGCACCGTAGTAGAGATGTAAGGCTCGAGATACAGTGTCTCCAGAAAGTAGTCGTGTACTTATCGTAGAAAATGTTTATATATGTTTCGTGTGTGGTATGTAGAAAGAAAATTTTGAAATTTCAGTAGCACCGTGTACATTGGTACGAATATACCAGATTTTTATACGTTAATGGAAAATTTGAAGATGTGTAGAATACATATAATATGTATGCAAAAATAAGTAAAATATGCAAAGTATAATATTTGTTGTAATGTTTAGTAGGTAAAATGGTTCTATGCTTAGCTTTAACTTTTTTAATGTTACACTCGCAAAATATGAATTTACATAAATATTCGCAGCCTGTTCGGAAAATTCGTAACAAAAGTTAAGAAAGATTTAACTGAAAAGACTTCGTAATATAAGTAATATAAGTTTGTAAAATGAATTACTAGGTGTAAGTTCATGAGAATATCTTGACAAATTTTCCATTTTCTCCGGTAACGAATTTCTTCAAATAGCAGCTTTTATAAGCTATTCAGAATATTTAATTTCTTACTTGTATCTTTCGAATACATGAAACGAACATACGAAATATATATTCAGATAGTGAAATTTAAATAGGTTTTTTTATAACACATACGATATAACTATATAAATTTTCCATGGTAAGTGTTCAAATGCCTTGCCAAGCCGCTGTACGTGTAACACTTGAAAGTGATCGAGAAACGAGGTCGGTGTCTGTTTATAGCGGGATGCTTGAACGATGAACAGTGATTAATCGCGTAAGGGTTAACGTGATATTGTTTACTTGAAATGAATATTTTTGTCATGTGTGTTACAAGCATCTTTTTGGTTGCTCCAATATTGCATAATCGTTTAGATGGTTCTGGTTAACAGGTACACAGATATTAGAAAACTGAAAAGTTCTTACGTTGATCTTTTTTATTGGACTGTTTCGCTTCGTATGACCTCTGCTACTTTATGAAAGCGTTATTGTTATATCAGGACGAAAATTAAATAGACGAAAATGAAGCGTGATAAATAGGTCACTCATAATACTAATGCTTCTGTATACTATTTATAAATCTATCTTTTCTGTGCTTTAAAAAGCTGTATGTCCAATAATATTCTTGTTTTAAAAAGAAGCAAAGATAGAATCGAGGTAGGTTAAGAAAGAAACTTATTCGATAATGAGGTTAAAATTTTCTCTATTATCTGTCCATCAACTGTAGAGTCTCTTTTATTGCTCGAGATAAGATCGCTGTATCTTCAGCAACGAGCTAACGTCGAATAAAAACGATGATTCATCGTAAAACATTGAAAATTAGTTAGGAAGTTACATAGTCAATTACAGGAAATGTTATTCGCGTCAAGCTAATAATAATTTTGTTCTTTCCAAAGGAATTTTGAAGTATTTCTAAACACGGCAGATCGTATCGAGAATGTTGAATTTTACCTTGCAACGTGTTCTTGCGTTAATTTAGTAACCTAATTAAATACGCGTATCTAATCAACCCCTTATTATCGCGAATATCGAAGATAAATTTGCCACCATTTTTACCGTGAATCAGTCGTTCTCCCTCGTTGTTACGCAATATATCGACGTTTTATAATATCCATATGCTCTTCCTTGAAGTAATAGACGACTATCGGTGATATTAACGTTGTATTTGTAAACTGAAAGTATCGTCTAATTTATTAGTAGCAATAAACAATTATTTTTGATCAAGGCTCGAATAAATGTTATCGATTTCAATGATTTACGATATTAAAGGAAAATTTAAAAAGTTTTTTTTTAGTCAGTTTTTAACATAACGTAATTTCGGTCAAGTTTATTTTTATTACATCTTATTATAGAAAAGGTAATATTAAAAAATACAAAATTTAGAGGTCTAATATCGGTAATCTTATCGTTTTATGTTAATTACCTCATAAATAAAAACTGAACCTTTAATTTTTTGTTGTGCTTAGTTTTATAACATATTATTTCTAGAGATATTATTCAAAAAGTCACAGACTCTTGAATTTCCTGTATTAAATTTAACTTTATTTACTAAATCTCTAAAAAAGCTGTCGCGAAAGAATTCGAACAAAATGTTCAAACTTTTTTTCAATTTGTCTTAAATGGTCGACTTGTAAATATTTTTTCTACATGGAGATCCTTTTGATTTTTCAGACTTCAAATATAGAAGTTGTATTTTCGATATGATCAGAAATTCTCCCATTTTTCATATTATTTAATATTTTCTTAATATTAAATATATATGACTCTTGCCGTGTCATTGTTGATTTTTACAAACGATTTGATGAAAATCGTGGAAAGGGAGAATTACGATAAATTACCTGGCATCATATAATTCGTTTTCTGATACTCAGTGAGTTTCATAAAATTTAGATCCTTTGACGATGCACGATTTTATCGATATACATTACGCGCGCGTATAAACGACGAAATAATTTAAATCGAAGAGATACAGGCTTGGTGGATACAATTAATTGTTTCGTAATTAATAGCCTGATGAGAAATTCCCTCTCGTGATATTTGAAAACAAATGTCGGATTAAAACTGCGAGATCGGAGAAAGATTAAAATTTCTTCGCGAGAATAATTCTGCAATGATCAACCAGGCGGTTGTCTGAAATTATGTGGAACATGAATACGTAAAGTGGATTAACTAAAAAATTGAACAGTATCATTTCGTTCAACTTAATTTTATTTTTCAACTTAATTTTCCGCTTCTTCAGGATTATTGGCATATATAGTGCGGAAATCTTTTAAACCATTTAATGATAAGTTACTGATATTATAATGACAATTGAGAATATTTCAATTCCTTAAATCACCAACTTTTTTTTAGAAATTCCGTGATAAATAGAGCTCCAATCTAAGTGTAACAGGAAATTTATGGGATCATTTAGATTGAGTCAGAAGAGAAAGGGGAATAAGAAAAATAAGAGTAATCTGCTGTGTGAGAAATTGAATAGAGAATAGGAAAATCTACAATAATTATTAATGCTTGGATTTAATGTTTCTTAAGAAGTAGGTAATGACGAATCTATTAATTCATCAAAGTAAAACATTTTCAGTTGATGTGTGATTTTATACTTTTGCACATCGTCATACTTGAACGTGTCTAATTTCGATATTTATTCAACTCAAACGTAATTTCTAAAAATATAAATCTATGAGCAGCATATTATTTTTCTTAAACTTAAAATAATAAACATCTATATAAATAGTAAATATCTTTTTTAGTCCTAATAAATTCATGTTTGAATACTTTGCATCTCTTTAAATATCTAATCGTAATGTTGCAACTGTTCTGTTCTGTTTCTGCTTTTCTACATTTCGACAAAAGATTTAGCGAAACAAAGAAAGAAAATAAACGAGCAATATGTTAGAACAAATATTATTCGCAATGAAGAGACTGATGATCTTTAACAAAAATATTGTACAATTTCAGATGTGAAGTAGCCATACCTTTTATAACAACCAATGTCTTAATCCATTAAAAATTTTAATATATCGTAGAAGCTATAAAATACTGCATTATTTCGTCGATGCTTTATGAAAATCTATCAATTTAAACGAAACAGCCTTGGTAGTTCATTTTAAAAACTTTATCGAAGTTTCCCGCTGTCGCCACACTTTATCCGCAATAAAAATGTTCATAAGCTGGTGCTGAACTTCCTAGTCACGCCCTGTTTTATTAATCGCCGATACAACTAACGTCGTATCATCGTGTATGGTCATTTTCTTTTCCACAGAACACAATAGAGCGTGGATTCAGAAAAGGTTAATGTATACGAAATAATTTTTGACGCACCCTAAAACTCTACTGTTCTCTCTTTCACCTTTCTCTATTCTTCTTGCTTTCTCTTCTTCATTTCCTTTTCCTTTTTTTTTTTTTGCGAACGATTTTAACATTAAACGAAATTCTCCCGGGACTCCGAACAGCCCAACAAAGAGATGTAAATTACGATCTCGGTCGGCTGTATTTTTTCCTACTTTTTTTCGTGTTTGCTCTGGCTAGAAAAATATGTGTGTCAACAGGAACTTCCCGCGGTGTGCACAGTGCACTTGCACTTTTGAGCACGCGTTCGTGATCCTTGACCTAATTGACATTGTTCTGCCACGTGATGCTGCACCAGCGATTCATTCGAATTCGAACCTGACAGCAACCACCGCTCTGTGATTGCATTTCAATTTGAAATTCGCCGAAATTCCCGCGAATATGCGATCCGATGTTCAAAATCATTGCTAACGAGAACCTATGGTTTGCATTGAAAATGAGGAAATCAGAAATTTTCGGAAGGTTATTTGGTTATGGTAAAAATTCTACATTTTTTGTGTTTAAATATTTTAAAGGGTTTATTTTAAGTTTTGCCTGAAATTCTGGAAATATTTCATCGATGAAAAATTTTGAATTCAACACGTTATGCGTATGTAAACTTGTTTGATCGTAGGATATTTTGAGGCGAAGGATTTATTTGAAAACTGCTGTATTTATTATTTATTATACTTCAAATTGTTGACATAATGTCGAGCTGAATGTTTTTTTGGCTTATAAGTAGTTCCGAAACGAACTGAATTTTATTTTTATGACCAACGTTTAACAAACCGTTAATAAAGATTCTAATTTCTAACATTAGCACGAGTTTTGCCTCGCGATAGAACTGCAGCACAGAAATTCCTTTCTTTACTAGCTTCGATCGTAAAACACGTAACATAGCAAAATTCGTAAAAAATGTGTAGGTC